TTTTATCTTTTATTACGTAAAAAATAAAAGCAATATTTGTTTTGTTAATTATTCACTTTTTAAAGAATACAATATGGAAAAAGATCACGGTTCAGTATTCAAGTTGATTCTTATTATTTGAGTCTTAAGTATAATCTAACTAATTATATGTATAATTAAAATAAAATCATAACTAAGATAAAAATAAATTCATAGTAAACTAATTATAACAAAGCATTAATGTTTTAACATTACTTGTAAATACTAGTCAAGAATTTGATACAAGTGAGCGAAGCGCGCGCGCCGGCTCTGAGCGCCACTTACACCAGAACGCCTATTGGTTTACTTCAACCTGCTCTCCTTCAAAAACTACTTATCGCACGCAATTTTGCTAAAGGAAAAAGTTATTTCTTTTAGCCTAAAGTATCACGCCTTGTACTCCGTGGGCGCGAATTTAGGGACACCCTGTATAATAATACCTACATATAATATAATTTATAAGAGCCTCTTTTATATCAAATATTTTCGCAAAATAAAAATTTCGTTTTCGTCTGCACTTAAAAAGATCGCCTTTTTCCTTATTTGCCTATTATTTATCGAAACTGAAGAAAAATCGCGATGACTCGCACAATAACGCGAAAATCGAATTTATCTATTTGCATCCTGGCGCCTCTCGTCGCTTATACTATTTTTAGTTCTCATCATCATCGTCATTTTAGTTGACGATTCTTTGCGATTTTTTCGCGCGATGATGAGTAACACAAAAAGATCTTCCTCTTTTCACGTAATTCTTTGCGATTTCTTCGCGCGATGATGAGTAACGCAAAAAGATCTTCCTCTTTTCACATAATTCTTTACTTATAAATTCCGCAAATATAAATAAAAAACATTAGCTTTAATGCAAATAAACCATTGTCCGAATTATCGATTGCTCGTGAAATTTCGGGAAATTAATGAGAAGCTACACTGTTTTTCAAAAATAAAATAAATTAAAATTCTAAAAATCTCGTATAAAAGAAATATTCATATTTATTTATATAGAAAATTAAATTCTCATTTTTTTAATTCAAATCAATCGGAAAGTACATCGACTTTTATATTATTTATTATTATTATATTATTTTCTTCTACTTGCCTTCCATTCTCTCGAAGCTAATCGGTAGATAACAGTCGAGGAATAGAAGTTTCACAGACCGTGTTTTGCGAAAAAGCTTATGTTAAATTTATTATATAATACATATATTCATCTCGCGGGACTGATTGTACTTTTCCTCTGGCAATTTTCCTTGAATAAATCCTCTGTAATTTTCTTTGAATAAATCCTCGTTAAATAGAACAAAGTAAAGCACAGTAGCACGATGATCATTGTAGTTCGCTAAATTTAAAATTAATTTGTACATATCACGTGTTTAGAAAATAATAGTCCATGTGAGAGGAAAAACCAATCAGATTTATACAATCAATGCAAAAAAATTCTTAGTTATGTAATCGGATCGATGATTTGTCTGACGTAAATCTATTTTTGTATAATTTGTCAAGTTCTAATTACAAGAATGTATCGGATGATCTTTTTTTTCTTTCGAGAAATTCTAGCAAATCGATCGTGTGCATCAAAGAAGAGATAAGTGAGGGCAAACGTAGAGAAATTTCTTTCGATTCTGCCCTCATTTTCATTCATACAATTTAGCCCAGATTATCCGTCTTCGGAGATTCTCATTTTTCCCTAACTACTTCGATTTTTTCTTTATCACTTATTAATATGCAAATATCTTTAATGAAACGCACGCCATTTTTAATGATTTTATTACATAAAAACAAAGAACAAAAGTTCATGAAAAGAATTTCTTCTTTCTTTTCTCTTTAATGAAATTTGCTATAATAAATTTCTATCTTTTTATTTTTTTAGTAGTACCTCTTCTTTTTTTTTCTTTCTTTTTGCACTCACCAACACTTATATATTTGTAAATAGAAATTAATATAGTTTTCGTAATAATTATATATATTGTAAGATATGAATTTGGCGCGTTATTTTATTAGTTAGTCAAGCTTTTGCTATGAACTAATTGTAAGCTATTAAATCTCTTCTTAGTTATAAGCTATTAATATTTAATCAATATCGTGTGTCTTTTGTCTCCGACTTTAGTCGTGATGTGTTAAAGATCAGATTATATTTATTAATAAATAATTTATCACGATCTTTGGTTTGCTCGCGTTTTAAATCGTCCTCTAATTATATCTTGGCCTACAAATTAACCAATTTTACAATATATATATATATATATATATATATATATATATATATATGTGTGTGTGTGTGTGTATATATGTATGTATGTATGTATATGTATGTATATATGTATATGTAATTTCAAAATAATAAAAATTAGTTTTTATTTTGTCTATATTAGAAACGTGAAAAATATGTTTCGTTAACTATGGTTTTAAAAACGTTTCTTATTAATATTTTACGATTAAAAAAATATTGGATACGTTTAAAAAACGTATATAAAACGAACGAGTGCTACCTCGTACATCATAGCATATCTTAAGTTATTTATTGACGACAATCACATGTCATAAAACGTTGTGTTACGTCATCTATTAATAATTGATAATTAAAGGTTAACTGTCCATTTGATATCAATGCTGTCTTATTGCAATCCAGCGGAAATTAAATCAAACTTCAAATTTTGTCTCGAAAATATTATAGTTCTAAGAAGTGACGTTATAGTTCTAAAAATTGTTCGCGAACAATTAATGTTTGAAAAAAAAAAAAAATTTACGCATTACCATCCGCGTTTTTAAGCTCTTATCGCTCGTTTCATAATTATCATGTTGTTAAATACATAGAGTCGTATTCTTTATCAATTTATTTAGAACTACACGCCGAGCTAAAAAGATCGTGTTCTCATTATTTCCATAGATTAATAAAAACAGGAGAGCTATCGGTGTGGGGCTGAATAGCTCAGTGATAAGAGCAGTCGCCCGGCAAGCGAAAGATTCGGGTTCGATTCCCGATTCAGCGACTTCGCCCCGATATTTTTCCTGTCTACATCTCATCAGGGGGGTAAAGAGGGTGTCATAGAAGTCTCAAACCAAGAGAATCTATAACTTGGAATATACACCAAGTAAAATATATGTATAAATGTCTCGTGCACGTCTTAAAAAAATGTTTTCGCGAACAATTAATGTTTGAAAAAAAAAAAATTTACGCATTACCATCCGCGTTTTTAGGCTCTTATCGCTCGTTTCATAATTATCATGTTGTTAAATACATAGAGCCGTATTCTTTATCAATTTAAAAAAATCATTATATATATAAATACTTGTTTAATTATTATACTTAGCTATTCTTAACACACAGAATTATTCTTAATTATTCTTAGCAGAATGTTTCTTTAATAATATAAAAATATTTTTAAAAATAAAAATGATGTATATCATTTAATATACGAATGGACTGATTAAGTTACAAAAGGAGATCGGAGCATTACAAAATTGTTTTCAATAATATTTTACATAATTAAAGTGTTTATCACTTTTTTGGAAAAAATAATTGATTTATAGCGAGAGAAAGACAGAATTTGATTGGATGCATTAATTCGCATTGGAGAATATAAAAATTGTTGTATATAAAATTACAATAGTATAATTAAAATAATAAAGTAATTAATATTATACGTTTTTATATTATATTATATTATATATTATATTAATTATATTATGTTAAGTTAATATTAAGTGAAGTTATATGATATACGTTATTATATTATAAGGGCATTCGATGTAAATAACGATAAAAATAACTGGTACAATTATTTTAGTTATTTATACTATTGAAAATTTATATTTATTTATACTAGAACTACTCTAGATTTATACTAAAAACGCTACGTACTGATTCAAACTGCATTATATGAGTGTCACAGAAAACGTATAAATCACTTTTATAAATCCATTACTTTTCTTATAATCAGAATATCTTTTTATATAGTAAACTTGCCTCTTATGCCAAAGAGAGAGAAGATACTCAAAAATAAATTAATATAAAAAGTTTAAAATAAAATTCATTAAACAATTATATATACATATAATTATTTTTATTTATACATAGAACTATTTTTGTTTTACACATATATAACATTTTTGTCAAAAAATTTTTTAGGATTTTAATTCTTTTTGAACTAACTCGAGTATTTCCGTAGAGAAAAATAAATTACAAACGGAATGAAGCTAATAAGACATCATGGCAATAGATGATCAGATTGATCATTCGAAGTCAGTTACTATTGTGATTGCTAGCCAAACACACTACCGCGTTATTTATCGTTTGATTCAAACTATATTATATGAATATCACAAAAAATTGTGTACAAATAGTGAATTTCGCATACGTAGTAACACAATTGTATATAGTAACATAATCGTACGAACGAATCGTCATAATTATATATTTAATAAAACCAAAGATATAGTAAATACTTAGGTGAATTTGATTACACGCCGCGTGTGCTTGAATATGGCTAAAAATGTTACAAAATCTATAATTCTATAACTTCTTTGTAATTTGATTGTAGTTATCTTTTTATCGACGTTTTTCTACTATAGTATTAATAAAAAAGGAAAGCTGATAATAATTATAATCCTGTATTCATGATAAAATTTAATGAATGTATATCAATTTGCATTATCATTTGTTCTCCTAAAAAAAATAGAAACTATTTACTTACTAAGAATTCCCTAATTTAATCTTAAGATATATACTGTGATCATGACCATAAAGAGAAATCTAAAAATATTATATTAGAAGATAATAACTAGCGATTTGTTAAAATTGAGCTTTAAGGAATTTATCGAAAATATATGTATATATATGAATTAAAATCAATTTGATTAATACATCAAAATTAGTAGAGTGAGAAAACAATTAATTGAGGATTAAATGGAAAAACTGATTGAATGCAAACGTTTACGAAAAATGCAAATTACGTTTGGAACAATTTTATGTGTTTTATTGAAAGATTTAGTACTGACAAAAGCAACTATCACGCCAAAGGATTATATCACTTTAAACATCCTCCAAGAAGAAAGTGTTTCCATATGTCCTGATTTAAATTTGACGCAGGTAAGATATATTTTTCGCTTGATTAAGAAACAATTGAATGTTATAACAGTTAGTAGTATAACTAAAAATGGATGACAATAAGTTATATATTCTACCTCTAAGATAAGATAAAATAAAACAATTCAATATAAAAAAAAAGGAATGTATGATGTTGTAAAAAAAGATGGATAAAGTTTTGAAATTTTGTTTACAAATGGATGTTATATAATATATTAAATTTAATTAAAATAGTATTTTAAAATTTGACTGTATTATTTTGTCTCTTTCTCTCTTTATATATATATATATATATATATATATGATGTGACGTGGCCGTCACGTTGTGCACATCCACCCCGGCAATCTTGACGGGGCGCGGGCCGAGTGGCTGCGTCAAGGGTCAGGAGAGAGAGAGAACTATCGCCCTCCCCGGAGAGACGAGGGACTCCGTATTCTATTGCGTGTATTATTAATTTTGTGGTATCTTTTTACATTGTATCGAGTCGAGTCTGAGGCACCTCACCACCGAAGACCGGGGGAACACGGCATCGCCTCCCCACGACAGCGAAGAGCGACAGCCGAGGGACCTTCATAGGAGCGGAGGATTCTGTCCCGGCAAGCCCGGCATCGGGAATTCGAAAAGGGGAAAGCGGCCTAGCCTCCCCTCGACCGCCAGAAATGATAGCCGCTGCGACAGTCATCCTCCTGGAGAGGAGACGTCCGGAAAGGACCTCACCCGGGCCAGATAAGGGCCCGCGGCACAGTTCAAGTTTGGCGCTATTTCGCGCGGGGCGCGAAAATGCCTCGCGTGGCGCGCGAGGCGTCAGGACCTCGCGCGTGTCGGCCGCTAATTGGCCGGGGATCCGCGCATCCCCCTGCGCGGCCAACGACCCCGCTATCGACCCTGGATCGCGAGATCCAGGGCTCACTTTGTCGCAGCCGCTCGCCTCAGATAGTCGCGAGTTTCTATTGTTCGGTGTGTGCTCTCGAGACGAAGCAAAACTTGGAGGACGAGGCCGAGGATCATCCCCGCAGCAGGAGGAGCTCCGTCGGTGAGGTTGCCCACGTAATTCTTGTACTCCGCGAGCGTGATCGTGTCCGCTCGCCGGCCGTTCTGTCGCCGTCGCCATTACGGCTTATCGCGACCGCTCGAGCCTTCTGCCGAGTCGGTCGATTTTGTGTATTTCGGGCGACTGGAGACAAGCGACCGAGGAAGCGCGGACACTGGTGACGGAAGTGCGTATCGTAGGGTAATTCTCGTCTCTCTCCGGGTATCAGGGTGCGTAATACGCGTAGCATCCGACCAGCGGGTATCGACCGCGTGCGTCGTAAATCGCGAGAAATGCGTAGTTCGTACGGGCTGTCGTCTGGTTGTCGAAGCCGCGTCTCGCACCTCTGAAATATGTCTCAGAGCGAGTCTGTGGAAATAATTATTCGTGATTAATGAGTCTTCGTGTATTTTAATCGTCCGTGAATCTGGTGCGAACCGGAGTATTATTGTCGCGTCTATTGTGTGCGTGTGAGTTATTCGTCTCACAAGAAGGAACGTAATTCCTCGAAATTGTCGCGGTGTGCGGGTATCGCACGATTCTAAGTATTGAGGCCTGAGGTCAGGAAATTCCTGGCGAATAGCACGGCTATCGAAGGAGGCGCGGTGCGGGACTGTCGCCCGGCCTTCCTTATTTCCTTGATAAGAGAAAACAATTAATTCTCACGCTGTCGAAGGTATCGGGGGTGTGACACTACATTGCCGCATCGCCCCGATTGCCAGAAATATTTGAGTTGCGAGCGTCGCCGAAAAAGGCGGAAAAATCTCCGACCGCCGCCGGCTATCGAACTTCGCCGGTATCGTCCGCCCATCGTATGCGGGATCTCTCCTCGCGGAATTCATATCTTGTCGCTTATTGCGTAGCTGATCGGCTATCTTATTTCGGGGTTGTCGACTCCGAGCCCGCTCGGAGGAAATTGCGAAATACGCAGCTAATTAGTAGGCTCTCCGCGAGGCTGTCGAAGCTGCGAATTATAGGCTGGTATTATCTCTCTCTCTCTCGTATGGTAAGACAGTTATTGAGACGTCGAATTATCAAATTCAGTTATATCAAGTATTGTTCTCAGGAGCGTCGATTTTAGGAAGCCGCCGTAACAGACGTTCTTTGTTAGACCGACTTAGAATATCGCGCGTTTTTCGAGCGTTTCGAGCATCATTGTCCGTTCACGTCTAGTACGTTATTTCTGTTTTCATTCGGTAGCGATTTTTATTTTTTTTTGTCACTCACTTGTCTGATTATTTACGTTCTTAATAAACCTGTTATTTTCTTATTTACTAAATCTCGCGTTCTTTATTTGACTGGCGATTGTCCGTAACTTCTGTGTTCGTCTTTGTCCGTTAATGCAATAAGCTCGCTCAATCAATTCACTTTTTCTTGCAAACCCCGCCCCTCTACCGTTAGGCGAGCTAGCCAGCCCGTGGCGAAGCGGGCTGTCGTATTCTTTCGCGTTTTCTTTCGAAGAATTTGTGAAACTGGTACGTGAAAGACCGTACCTGGCGCCCAGTTCTGAGGTAACGAGACGGCCTTCGCTCCGCCGCGGCTCGCGCACGGACACCCTCCAACCCTGTCCCACCGATCGCGAGTACATAAAACCCTTGTGTTTTTGACGGCGCTTCCGCTCCCCCGCGAGAATCAAAATTTAGAATTGAAAAAGCGTCGCAATATATATATATATATATATATATATATATATATATATACAGGGTGACCCATTTTAACTTAGGCAGCCAAATAACTCGAAAAATAAGCACACTACGAAAAAATGGTTAGAATCAAAATTTCGTCATTTCGAGGGGGACGTACAATGACGTTAAAATCAGCCCCCCCACCCCTCCCCCTGGGCGGTGAGGGGGGGCAAGTTTGAAATCTTAAATCGGAACCCCTATTTTTTATTGCATATTCCTGTAGCTTATCTCGAGAGCTTTCCAAAACACTATAATTAAGTACCTTTTTATTAAGTACTTTTTGAGTTATAAGGCTTGAAATAATTTCTTAATTTTACATAAACCATAAAATATCTAGTAAACCATTCATTTTTCGATTATCTTACCTTCATACTTTTATGTACAAAATAATGAGAGGAATCAATTGGTGTAAAGAAAACATACAGTTGTTTTTAAGAAAAAATATGGAGTTGTTAATTGCAAATTATATATTTTTTCTTAGAAACAACTATGTGTTTTCTTTACACCAATTGATTCCTCTCATTATTTTGTACATAAAAGTATGAAGGTAAGATAATCGAAAAATGAATGGTTTACTAGATATTTTATGGTTTATGTAAAATTAAGAAATTATTTCAAGCCTTATAACTCAAAAAGTACTTAATAAAAAGGTACTTAATTATAGTGTTTTGGAAAGCTCTCGAGATAAGCTACAGGAATATGCTATAAAAAATAGGGGTTCCCATTTAAGATTTCAAACTTGCCCCCCCTCACCGCCCAGGGGGAGGGGTGGAGGGGCTGATTTTAACGTCATTGTACGTCCCCCTCGAAATGACGAAATTTTGATTCTAACCATTTTTTCGTAGTGTGCTTATTTTTCGAGTTATTTGGCTGCCTAAGTTAAAATGGGTCACCCTGTATATATATATATTATAATATATATAATATATATATAATATAGATATATTATTTCTAAAAATTATATCTATTATTTCTAAAGATATATTATTTCTAACAATTTTTAAAATTAATGAAATTTTCTGTCTACTATCTGTTACATTAATATACAGGGTGTCTGCTAAACATGCGGCAAAAATTCAGGGGGTGATTTATTGGGTTATTTTAAGACTTTTTTGTTATCTGATGATTTTCGAAAAAATGCTTTGTTTCGAAAATAAAAGCATTAAAAGTTTTTTTACCAATTTTTTATTCCATAGATAACAGGCGATACAGGTTTTTTAACAAAATTATTAAAAATTACAAGAAAAAAAAAAATTGGTCAAAAAACTTTTATTGCTTTTATTTTCGAAACAAATGTTTAGCAGACACCCTGTATACATACAATGGAACTTTAACAAATTTTTTGTTTATGTTTCTTCAATTTTTAAAATTTCTTTATTTTCCTAGATATATATATAATATTTATTGATATAGTAAGCTTTATACTAATGTAAATTTTATTTTAAGTTAATTTAGAAAGTTAGCATCATTTCTTTGTGTTAAGGATAATTATATAACGAAACAAAGCTACTAAATATCAAGCTAGGAAGTCTGTCTAATAAAAAAACCATTCAACAAACATTTTTCAAATTGTATCTATTAATGCTAATATTTTAATCGACAATATATTCAATAACAATCACTCGAATTTATATTAATTTTCATTGTACATATATCCATTTATATACAATTATATATCCACATATTTTTATGGAGGCATTATCGATTTATACTATCGGTTTATACTATCATTTTCAAAATTTGTTTGTATTAAAAATATAACGATATTCGAGAAAAAAATTTGAAAAAGTTAATATACAAATAAAAGAATTTATATAATTTTATGATTAATATTTAATAACTGTAAAGAAACAATATTTTTAACCTTTTTATATTTAAAGTACAAATATTAATTAAACTTTAGTAATATCGGCAAATTCTTGAAACGAAATTTGAGTTAGGTTAGGTTAAAATTGGAAAGAGTTAACTGACTTATCGTGAAAAAGAAACAAATCGTTAGACAAAATTGTTTTAATAATTGAAAAGAGCTACACTTTCGCTTACATTACTTGCTAAAAGCTGTTATGATTCCTCATTGACTCTCGTTAACCTATTGATTGTATTATTTTTGACATGAGTTATGTTAGATATATAAAATGCCTTAAAAAGAATTAAAAAAATAGATTTTATGATATGAAGAAAACTACATCACATTCAATTTATATCATTTAGGAATGGTATACAGGGTGATTCTGAACAAGCGTGCGTCTTTAAAATATCAAATTCTTGAATGAATTCTAAGACGATTTTTCCTTTACCAAAATTTTCTACGAGGCTTAGTTTTTAAATTAATAAATAAAATAGTTTTCGAGTTACGGAACGAGTACAAGAGGTAGACAGGGAAGGCGCAACTCACCGGCCGATATAGGCGATTATGCGGTGCGCTCGACGCGATTGCTGCACACGAGGAGTGTAACAATCAGTGTGTGTGTGTGTGTGTGTGCGTGTGTGCGCGCGCGTGTGTGGTGTATTTATGCATGCGTATTCACACATGCCGTTCTCTCTCTCTCTCTCCCCCTCTTTCTCTCTTACTCTCACTCACTCACTCATTCACTTATTCTTACCTTAATACTTGAGATTCTTCATATTGCTGATAAATAGCAGTGCCCAGTGTGTGATAATAATCATCGTCGACGAGACGTCGTTTCTTCACACGCAGTCTGACACTTTTACAAATTTACTCGCGCACTTAATCACTCGCGATTGATAAAAGGAGGAATTTATCAACGATTACAGTACGAATTTAATAAACGATTAACACATTTAATTATTAATTACACACTCGATTAAAGAAATGCGTTAACAGCACGCGATACTCGATGCAAAGCGCGCGACGCGACGACCGACGACAAGCAGGTTAGTACTAGCGCCTCTAGCGCTGCCAAATATAAACGTGTAGCATTACACGCGAGACGCGAGACGCTATCGTGTGTCTTATAATCAGCTGCAGCTTCCGCATTGTGAATGCGATAGTTTGGAAAATCCAAAATCTGTACTATTATATTCGGTTTGTGTAAATAATTTATTAATATTTATTTTGTTTTATCTCCTTTTTGCAAGCGAAATGTTCCATGTAAAAATATGTTAGTCGCTCTGAAAAGAGTGGATTATTTTTGGTCGCTCTGAGAAGAGCGGATTTAAATAAATCTATAATATTATTCGGTTTTCTTAAATAATTTACTAATATTAATTTTGCTTTGTCTCTTTTTCGCAAGCAAAATGTTCCAAGCCAAATGTAAAAATATGTTGGTCGCTCTGAAAAGAGCGGATTATCTTTGATCGCTCTGAGAAGAGCGGATTTAAATAAGATTTATAATAGATGCTCGAAATGAGCACCATCCATTCTAATGCATGCTCTCATGCGTTTCAGTAAATTATTTTGGACGTTCTCCATCATTTCATTTTCGATAGCCCAAATAGCATGTCGTAATCTTGTATCTAATTCGTCGACATCTTCGGAAAGCGTTTTGTAAATTACTTCCTTACAATATCCCCATAAAAAAAATCGAGAGGGTTGAGATTCGGGGATCTTGCGGGCCACCGTATCGGACCATATCAACCCATCCAACGTCCAGGAAATTGCTCGTTTAAATAATTTGTTACAACTCTGGCGTTGTATGGTCCAGCGTCGTCTTATTGAAAAACAATCTTGTTTCTGTCTAATAATGGAATTTCTTTTAAAAATTCCGGCAGATTATTTCTTAAAAATTCTGCGTATGTTTGGTCTGTTAAAATATCTGGCAGAATAACTGGACCAAGTATAGTTAGTTCTCATTATTCTAGCCCACCGATTCATCTTCCAGCGAACTTGGAAATTTCTTTGTCGCGTGACTCTGGGATTTTCTTCGTTCCAAAAATGCATATTGTGAGTATTAAAAATTCCTTCTTGTGTAAAAAGCGATTCATCGCTGAATATTATATAAGAAGGAAATTTAGGATTTTGATCCACTTTTCGTAAAAAATTTTCACAAAACGTTCGTCTTGGTTGGTAATCTTCTGCTCGCAAATGTTGCACGCGAATATAATGGAATGGATGCAACTTTTCTTCTTTCATTATTCTTTGTACAGTTGCGTAAAATAAATTGTGTTCTCGAGCAATCACCCGAATACTTGATTCGGGATGATTCTCGAAAGCACGCAGAACTTGCTCCATATTTCATACATTTCTTACATAGCGATGTCTCCCAGTGTCGTGTTTATTTAAAAGGACACTGCCAGTTTCGTACAGCCTTTGAGTTGCTCGAAGTATTACGCCAGCGGATGGATGTCTTGCTCGATTCGGATACAATTTTGTGTATCTTCTCGCAACTACACGATATTGCCCATGACACTCGCGAAGTGCCATCAGCATATCGTAATATTCTTCGTTCGTGTACGCCATATCGTTCTTTTAACACTTCTAATGATGGAAGGATTATTGATTGCAGCATCGATCATCCGACCGTATTTATACGATCCTCGCAGGGGGTCCATACCCCCTCTACGTCTCCCGCGACGAATCCGCGAGTCGCATGTCGCGAGTATAAATACACCACACACGCGCGCGCGCGCACACACGCAACACACACACACTGATTGTTACACTCCTCGTGTGCAGCAATCAGCTGATCGCGTCGAGCGCCCCGCATGATCGCCTACATCGGACAGTGAGTTGCGCCGTCCCTATCTACCTCTTGTACTCGTTCCGTAACTCGAAAACTATTTTATTATTTATTTAATAATTTGAAAACTAAGTCTCGTAGAAAATTTTGGTAAAGGAAAAATCGTCTTAGAATTCATTCAAGAATTTGATATTTTAAAGACGCACGCTTGTTCAGAATCACCCTGTATATCAAACCGGTATTATTAAGCAAACAAAAAACGAATGGAAATTTTTCATTTAATTTTATAATTTATATAATTTAACATTAAAAGCATCAAACCGCTTCAACGATAGTCACTTAATTCTTTTCGTATGTAATACTTTATAAAGATATTTCAATATCCAAGAAAAATGATCATCATATACTAAATTTCAAATCCGACCAGAGTCATTCTGATAATACTGTGAGAAATGAGCGAGAAGTCGATGAAGTTACACTTGCAAATATTTCTATCATCCCAGAATCTATCGGTAAGTTGCAAAAAAAATGCATAAAACATTAATAACAAAATCTATGACAAAAAAGTGTTAATATAATTTAAATTAAAGAGAGAGTGGCAGTCAAATCTAAAAATATCTTTCAGTATTCAAAAGAATATAAATTCTAATTCTACCCCAAAAAGAAATAGAAAAGCATAATATAAACATAACATTGTACATAAAAATTGTCATGATTTAAAATAAAGACAATTTTATTAATTTGCTTTTTTGAAGCAGTCGCAAATATTATATTTTTGATTTCTTAAGCTATAGGAATTTATCGAAAAATACTTGTCATTTTATTAAAAGTTATTTATTCATTTTTGTCATCGATTAACAATAATTTTTCTAAATCTTAAATGACGCAAAAAATTATTATATTATTTGTTTAAAGATCAATACTGTGCTAATTTTCATATTTTGTAGAGTACATTTATTTATATTTTCTCTTTCCTCTATTTTCACATTAAATTGTTCTTTCTGATATACTGAGATAATCCACTGAATTTTATATATAATTATGTTAATATGTACAGGGTGTTGCATCAACATACAGATCATTACGACGAGTTACCTGCCTATAGGCGCGCAAAGCCGATAAAATAGAATAGGCAATTCAGATCATTCGCGCACACAATTATCGATGTATTATATGTATATACTAGCTGTCACGCTATGAACGCATAATAAGCTTAGAAGAAGAAATCACAACGAAAAATATATTTTTTGTAAAAGAATTATAAACTATAGTCGTATAACATTTTATAAAAGTGTATGTTTAATATTTATACTTTATATTTTTTTTTAACACACACAGATACACAATACTAAATTTTTTGATAAGATTTGTCGTGAATTAATTTTATTGTAAAATATATAACTTAACATAATATAATTCTTAACATTATATTTCAATAATCCTTATCTATATATGTATAATTACAATAATATTATATTAAAAATAATATTAATAATATTATAAAAGAATATTAATAATATTATAATGTTAAGAATTATATTATGTTAAGTTATATATTTTACAATAAAATTAATTCACGACAAATCTTATCAAAAAATTTAGTATTGTGTATGTGTGTCTGTGTGTGTGTGAAAAAAAATATAAAGTATAAATATTAAACATACACTTTTATAAAATGTTATACGACTATAGTTTATAATTCTTTTACAAAAAATATATTTTTCGTTGTGATTTCTTCTTCTAATAGCTTATTACGCGTTCATAGCGTGACAGCTAGTATATATAATACGTCGATAATTGCGTGCGCGAATGGACTGAATTGCCTATTCTATTTTATCGGCTTTGCGCGCCTATGGGCAGGTAACCCGTCGTAATGATCTGTATGTTGATGCAACACCCTGTACAATCTTAAAATCTCTAGAAAGCGGTTTGAACAAGCCAACATCTCTCAGAGCATTTGTACAATTCGACAGTCAATTCACTCAAAAAGTAAACAACATTTTTGTGACATTGAGGTAAAGAATCTAAATTCTTAGTTTGTATCTTTCATTTTTGTCTCTTTTTCTTAAATTCAACGACATATACACATAAAAACGTTAAATTTGTTATAATTTTACTAAATATAAAAATATTGAAATGTTATTCTTTTACAGATTGAACGAACCTAACTTTACTGATGAAATAATACAAGAGTACCAAATGCAATGTTCTTTCTTCGAGGACTTTAAAGAAACCTGCGACGATAAAAATATCACAACTACAAAAATGGAGCACACGGTGCACAATCTAACATCTAACACGACATATTATTTTCGAGTACGTGCGCATACTAAAATTGTTGCTGATCCTTACACGGATTTAATCAATGTGTCGACTACACATGAAAATCCAATACCTAAATTATTATTCACAACGAATCGAGGTATTGAAATATTGGACGTGGATTTAAACGTTACTAATTTCATAACATCAGAGTACGTATACTCATAAAATAAATAGTTATAATTATTATAAATTATGTTCAACACTAATTATTATAAATTATGTTCAACACTATAAAGTTAAAGTTATTATTATTATGCACAAGTTTATTATTATCAACATTATAGTAGTAATAACTATAAAATTAGAAATCTCAACTATAATTTTTTACTATACAATTATAGTTGGCTCTATTTTTCAGAAAAGTAGAATATGCCGCTTATTCGATACAAGAGAATAGAATTTATTGGATTGACAAAAAAAATCTAATGACATTGAAGATTAATGAAAATAATGTCACAAAAATAGCTAGCTTTGATAATGATCTATCTAATCTCTGCATTAACTGGGTAACAAGAAATCTATATTTCGAGATCAAAGATACATGGTCCTCTTATGTTGTAAAATTCGATTTAACAATGTGGGAAAGTGGCATAATTAAATTTGATGAGCTTTTGGAAACAAAAATTAATGACTTTACTTTACGTATATCACCGTCTATGGGGTACGTTTACTACCGCTCACCTAAGAAAATAATTTTTTCTTAAAGATTTATCGAAATTTGTAATTTTTCTATAACTTTACTTATGATCTTATAATTAAGATCATAAGTAAAAAATATAATAAGTTATTATATAATTATAAGAATTTCGAATTTTTACTACATACAAGTTTCTCTTTTTATTAAAATAATGTTTTATAATGAGTAAAATAAATACATATTTTTCAGAATTTTATATGCTCTATTAGACGATAGTACGCATACAGAATCTAATATGATGCAATATGATCTCGATGGAAAAATCAAGCAAATTGCTCGGATAAATAAACCCAATTGCCTATTAAATTATATAAATTCTCTTTATGATTTGATAATTGATAACATGAATAATGAAGAGCCGTTAATTTACTGGTTAGATAGAAATTGCCTAATTGTAACAGACATTAATGTTTCTATGTGCAATGAGATTTTAAACAGCAAACATATAACTGATGACACCTACTTCCGATCTATAACGATTGACAAAACAAACATTTACATTTTAGCAGACAATGAAAATGATGATAAATTGAATTATCTTCCATATATATACGCTTTGAAAAAGAAATATGCAAGTCTCAAGAGTGTAAATGCAGCCGAATATATTGAAAAGATAACAAAAAGCTTATATAAATATATATTTAAAATATACGCTTTTGATAAATCTTTACAACCATATCCTCCAATGAGATGCCTGACACCTGACGAAAAAGTTTACAATTTTGAGAATGTGAATGCAACGGCAAATAGCATCTTTGTGAATCTTCCGGAGCCGGTTGTAAAGAGTGGATGCAAAAAGTATAATTTACCAACTACTATATATACTATCTCTGTAAGCTGTCCATACAACAATCTCAACAAGTCTGAGAAATTCAATGTGCTGCGATATGTGACATACGAGCGATATTACGAGATTCAGAACTTAACACCATTTACGGAGTACAAGTTGAAGTTTACTTTAAGCAATTTTTACTTTGATCAATTATCAATAAATCCATTCGATTCGAATGTGATATCAATAAAAACTAATTTGGGCAGGCCTAATGCCAGAAAACATAAGTGTTTTGGCTTTGACGCCTACTATAGCAGTAGTTCATTGGATGCCATCCATGAAATTGAACTGCGCGGCCGTGACCTACGAAGTGCATTGGAAGTCAGTTGCATTAGTGAATGGCACGCAACAAGAAGGCAAACAATTTATCAATGTGCCGAAACGTATGGTAGACGGCAGATTTTTCACAAAGATTAACTTGTCGCTATCAGTACAAGATTACTTGATATACGTGCGTGTGTATCCAATTAATTTCAGCGATTTCTACAACGAGAGTTTAAGCAAGATCGTTCACATATACTCAGAACCAAACAATATTACTTTAAGCGGGGTCAACATAAATAGCATGAACATTTCATGGATCTCAAACATTAATCTGATGATCTTTTTTACACTAGAGTACAAAGATGTTGCAGCAGAAAAGTGGCAAACAATGTATTATATTAAAATGAATTATAACAATGAAGTAATGTACTATATCGAAAATTTACAATCGGGAACTTTATACAAGTTTCGCTTGATATTGAGATACCTCGAATATGAGGAAACTTTTATATGGCCGGCTGATGAAAGATTTATTTTTTCAACACATGGTAGCAAACGTGGTAAGCAAATGAAAATACCCATACAACACAATAAGATTACGGATATATTGAAAAATAATTTCATTGCAATATTACAAATCGAATGCGAAATTCTGCTGAGTTATTGTTATAAGATTGCGATAAAGTTAAGCTGTTCGTTTTTTGCAATGAAACATTGTAGTAATATTACAGTGTAATATATTGGAAATGTTATTGTAACCATATTTTTGTTTTCGATGGATGAATATCTTACAAACATTTAATAAAAAATTAAATTAAATTAAATAGTTCGATATAAATAGAAGTTTGCAATATCTAAGATAATTATATCTAAAATAATATATTACAAAATTGCATTAATCATAATCATATAACATAAAATGTTATATTTTTATACAAAATTAAACTCTTTTTACTCTTTACGAACTCCTACTTACGAATCACTTTTTTTATTTTAAATGTTCTATGTCCTCTTATAATGTGTACTTTATACACATATACATATATGTTAGTTATAGAATTAATTATACATTTTTTATTATATTTTTATTTAAAAGTTTAAAATATCCGTTATAATTATATTTATTTGCATGTGAAAGGTACATAAAAATGCACAGAAAAATATAATGATAGTTATAATAGTCTCTATATACTTAATATAATAAAAAGATATATTATCTTTGAAGATTAATATCGTAATTGTAACATTGATATAAAATGTTATTTATATTTTAATAAAAAGATAGCAGTGCTTATCTCTGGGTTAGAATTATATTTACTCGATTATTTCTGTCGAGTATTATTGTGTCATTATTTCATTCGACTTCTGCAAAAAAGTAAAATTCATCGCATATATACAAATATAAAAAAATATATTATTACATTATTTTTATAGATACATTAAAGGGTGTTATAGTTTTAAAATGTTTTCAAAATATAAATATTATATTACTAATGTCTAATTCATACTTTTTTAAATTATATTTCTACAATGTTTCTGTAATGTTGCATTGCAATTTGTAATATTGCAATATTATTGCAAAGTAGTTGTAACATTCTGTGCTGCATAGATATTATAACATTATATGCTAATTTTTTAGATATGAATAGGCCTAGAATTTTAAAAAATTAAATTTTGTAATAAAGTTATGAGTAAAAATAAATTTGTAAAAATATACACACACCAAGATATTAAAATTATATATTTGCTTAATACAGATGTTCCGAACACTCCTGGAATAAAAGCGAAAAAATATTACTTATTATTGATGTTATGTTTTATCGTTATAATTATAATAATCTGTATCTGCTATTTTTATCGTTGTAAGTATATTTGATGTAGGTGTCGACTTGAATTGTAGATTACACATATATATCTGATATAATATCTAAAATTTTTGTCTTCAACAATGACCGATGTAGAATTGGCGATTCTACATGAAGTATCTTGCCGAAACACTCAATTCAATATGATTTACAGTCCTATGTTACATTATAATCCGGATGAATGTGCGATAACTAAAATCGCACGAAATCAAATTACACTCACAAAACATCTTGGTAGCGGCGCATTCGGAATGGTAAAAATTGATTTTTTCAAGCAATAGATCAAATTAATTTTTGGATTAATTTGAAATAACAAAACAAATACGTATTTTCTATAAAACAAATACGTATTTTCTAATAAAGATATAAATTACATGAATTTTTTTAATAGATTATAAGTAATATAAAATTTACATGAGACAACAAGCATGCACTTTATTATATATTTTTCATTGAATTATTTAATATAAAATAAAATATAATACTACAGTAAACTATACATTTTTCTAATAAAGTACGCATGTAAATTTGTGTGAAATATTTCGCAGGTGTATCAAGGAAAGGTAAAGGATTTAGAAAAATCGGGCACAGAGATATCCGTTGCAATAAAAACGCTTCGAAAAGATGCTTCTTCCTATGAAAAAGAGAAATTATTAAAAGAAGCCAAGCTTATGAATCATTTTCGACACAAACATATATTAAGATTGTTGGCCGTTTGTTTAGATGGAGATTCTTCGTTACTAGTATTGGAATTGATGGAAACTGGTGATCTGTTAAAATTTGAGAGATTGTCGAAATTTGCAAGCATCAGATTCGCCTGTTCTGCATTTGCAGGATTTGCTCGCCATGTGCGAAGATGTTGCGCGAGGTTGTTGCTACTTGGAAGAGTTGCGTTTCGTACATAGAGATCTAGCGTGTCGCAATTGTTTAGTATCTTCAAGAAATCGCGAGGATCGTATCATCAAAATTGGAGATTTTGGATTGTCCAGAGATATCTACAAGGATGATTATTATCGCGTGGTAAATACAATTATGAAAAAAAGTTAATAATTAAAAAATGAATTCTTCTAAAAATACTTTCTATTTTTTTATCATAATAGTAGCGTGCATTGTTTTTTTAAGTAATATAGAATATAAGTAAGTTTTTATTTATATATAGCATAAGATAAATGAACGTTTTTGATTTTGCACACATTCTAAAAATGAACAACATAAATCAGAAAATTAAATTTTTGTTTAAATCATGTTTTAGAAAGGAGAAGGTTTGCTTCCTATTCGCTGGTTGGCACCCGAATCTTTGATAATGGGAATATTTACTTCTCAAAGCGATGTTTGGTCATTTGGAATATTAATGTGGGAAATTACATCGTTGGGTGAGCAACCTTATAGTGCCAAGGCTAATGAAGAAGTGATAAATTATGTACGTGCTGGAGGCAAGTTACCGATAACTCTTAACTGTCCATCAACGTTGTACCAGTTGATGCTGCGTTGCTGGAATACAGCAGATGCCAGACCAAATTTTAATCTTTGTCTGAAAAATATTATAGCTTTAAGAAAGGACACGGAAGATGCCTTACTGAGTCCAGTCGATACTATTTAGCCGATATAATTAAATTAATGTTTATCTTATTTTCCAAACGATTCAATAAATCTTAATGTAGAAAAAATATTTCTAGGATATTTCTAAATTGATGCTTATTTTTAGGTTTGAACTTAATATTATATGTACCAATGAAAGTAAAAGAAATTTTTTAATCTTACCTTCCATAAAATTTTGATTATTATTAAAAAATATCACATCCGTTTTCATGATTGTTCAAAATCAAATAATATAATGATATATCTAATTTGTGTTTTTGAGTAATTGAAGCGAAAGCTAATGATTACGATTGTATATATAGGAGTGAAGGGGGCACTATAGAACACTTTTTTATTTAAAGCTCATAGATTTTTCAATTTTTAAGAAATTGATTCTCCGCTACAATTATAAGTTAGTTTAATTGTTAATGTTCAATATAAACGTATGCTAAAAGAAACACATTTGAAAGTAGTACATTGTTTTTACTTTTAAGAAAGTATGTTCTCTTAATCTGCCTTCCTGGGAAGGAAGTTTAGGACTCCACTAGGGCAGTTTAGGATTGATAATGAATAATTGAGATAATTCTTGTTTTCTCACTTTATTAAAAGTAATAAATCTTTTACTAGGCAACAGTCTTAAATCTTTTTTAGTATATTTTTTCTTTAACAATAGATAATTTGTACTACGCAATGAAATAAACATTAGTGTCCACTTATTAAAACTTTAATTATGGCAAAAATCAGTCTCATTTTCTTTTAAATAATAAAATATTTAACAACTCTCTTTAAAAAAGTTAAAGTATTAAGTTAAAATTATTAATTTTGTAACAAATTAAAAAGTTAAAATTTAACAAAAATAATTTTCTTAGACTTTCAAAAATAACTTTTTACGTAACAAAAGGAAATTGAGATCGTAATAAACTTAAAATTAATCAGCCAAGTTTAAAGCTAGAAGAATTAAATGTAAACGTCATAATTTCTGCAGTTCTCGAAGCTCTCATGTGATATTTGTCTCTTAACTGAATGCTAACCGCAAAATGCGTTCAACATGTTATCATGTATGAATTTTTTACATCATTCGAGATAAGTATATACATATATTATATCTTTTTATTTAATGACTTACTGTATATTCAAATTATATTGATGATTACAAAAGTATGCAGTAAAAATGAACTACATTTATTGTTCTATCTCCAATAACTGTTTAATAAAGCTAATAATATATAAATATATATTCACACACAAGTACGGTCTATCATTTCGAAAAAATTTTTCCACGTATATATATATCTTTGTTGGTGAGTAAGAAATTTTTATAAATTTGTAAAATATTTGAAAATACATCTATTATTATGCATGAATTTAAAAAAAGATCATTATATTAATGTTTACATTATTAAAAATATTCTTATGCAGAATGTCTCTTTAACAATATAGGAACATTTTTGAAAATAAGAATAGTAGTTAGTACTAGAAGGGTTCTAACTCAGGTCCTCTCAGGGGAGGTGCGAGGGGATCTCAGCGGAGCGGGGGTATGACGTCACGCGGGGTTGCGGGGTGGGGGATGCACGTGTTGGATGTTTTATGACATGCATAAACAGGAAAAAAGGGCGGTATTCTTTTGAAGATGATTTTGGGCCTAACCCAAAAAATCATTTTTTATCATCTTATTTTATTTTATTTTATTTTTTATTTTATTTTTTATTTTATTTTTTATTTTATTTTTTAAGGAAAAATTTTAACAGCGCCAATGTTCGACTGCTTTGTCTCCCCCCGTTTACATATCAGCGTCGATGTTCGGCTACTTTGTGCTCTCGCGGTACACCCCCCTAATATAAAAAATTCTAGGTTTTTTTCCGTTCGACGTATGAACAATACAGAGTAAGCTAACGAACTTTCAGAGATTGTCGGGGACAAAAAATTTTTTTTTTGCAAATGGGATATTGTAAAAAAACCTTTTATACCCTTATATATATTTTTAATAACTTTATTTCATAAACTTATATTTTTGAGATATTTCCGTCCAACCTTTTCAAGCAATCTGTGTATCGACGTAATATAATAGCGCATTTGCAAAAAAATTTTTGTTCCCGACAATCTCTGAAAGTTTGTTAGTCGAATATAAGGATTGAAGCGCATCATATCATAGTACGTGATTTGAAAGCGCATTAACACGTGGATAGCAAAAGTATAGTGCAAAGTAGTGTTCTGTCAGAAAGTACAATGTTCTGTTAGAAAGTGTGATATATTGTGTGATAATATATAAAATGGAAAACGAAGACGAAGATCGCGTGTTGTCGTCCGACAGTGACTGTATTAGTGACTGCAGTGAGGATAGTGACTCTGCACTAGTCAGAGCAAAAATAGTATCTATCGCAGAAATTAATGCATTAAGCGGACGAAAAAAATATTGCACGATATTCTTTTATTACTCGACTGGCGGCGCTTTAGCAGTATGTGCGTCCTGCATGATTAGGCTGCAAGGTGTAGACCCCATAGTGATGTATGCCGTACGAAAACATGTAATTCAGACATTGGATGCAACGGATGGACGATACTGTTCCAATTGCAGAGATCCATTATATCTAACATTCCCGTGCAATATGTGTCCACAATGCACGTTGTGAAAAAAAAACATTGAATAAGACTAAAGTGTGCGAGCAACGGAATAAAAAATTAATGAACATGTCGGTGGTGGAATATTTAAGAAATCGCGAACTTGGCGGAAGAAATTCTCCAATCGCGACCTCCCATCTAAAATCGTATATAAAGATAAAAAAGAGGGATATGCGGATTAGAAAGAGGAACAAATTAGAGGCAGCCATTTGCCGAGATTGCTGTTTGCCAGGTAGAAATCGAGAAGCGTGTTCCGAAAGGATGCGAGGAATCCATCAGCATAACTATCTTGAATATATGATCAGTTATGTAATATCAGTATATCAATATATGATTCTGATTCGGATTCTGATATGGATGCTGATCAATAATTGGAGGTAGGTCGCATGTGTAGGAATTTATTTTCAAATTATTCAAATAATTAATAAATTTTTTTATGTGCAGAAAGAGTCACCACTCTTCCACCGGCCGCCCCACCATCGCCTCTCATCGACACCACCACCACCACCACCACCACCATATCGTCGTCGCCATCGCCCTTCTATTATATTATATTATTCAATTATATATATATCATTTATATTTTGTATTCTTTTTATACTTTTATAATTGTATTATATATATTATATAATTGTATATATTGTGTATTTTAAATTCTTTTAAATTTTGTTCGTACATTATCTTTTACACATTTATATTTTAAATTCTTTTAAATTTTTCTTACAGTATCTTTTTTTTACACACTTTATATAATATACATTTATATTTTAAATTCTTTAAAATTTCTTTTGCACACTATGTATATAATACACATTTATATTTTGTATATTTTAAATTCTTTTGCACACTATGTATATAATACACATTTTATTTTATTTTATTAAAAATTAATTAATTAATATAAAAAAATCTGATTTATTTTCCAAATTCCTCTCTCTCCCTCTCTTTTCATTGCTCCATTTATTACTAAATTATAAGAAAACTATTAAAAAATTCTATTAAATTATCAAAAATATTTTTATTGCGTGATATCTCTTCTCTCACGTGCGCCGTATCATTCCTTCTGTCTCTTTCTTTCCTAATGTTTACTCTCTCATGATAATTCTCTCGCAAGGAGCTATGCATGAAAGCTGGAACGGGAGAGCACGCCAAAACGCAAAGAAAGTACACCATAATATAGATTTATAACTATTTATTCTGCTTATATATTTAGTATACAAATATAATTTTTGTCTTACATATTAAGAATTAAAAGCTAAAGCTGCCAGCTCGCAATCGACGAGTTGATGCTTGTTGAAAACATCACTCGCGCGTATTACATATGATACTTCTTTCGGATCCGTTACAGTGGACGCGATATTGCAGAATTGCGTAAATTTAACATCAACTGTTTGGATAATTTTATCTAATCGATCAAAAGTTACATCTATGCATTGATCGAGATCGAACATACGATGTAACGTCGATTCGACCATCATCATGCGTACATCCGAAGATTCGAGACTTATGAGTTTGACGTCGTTAATCGTACGAACTCTCACTGTTAGCGGTCCAACGCTTATGAAATTGTAGTCATCTTTAGAGTCGTTCCGAAGTAAATTTTGAATATTGCGACGTTGCTCGTAGAGTCCTTTCCACATTTCGAGAGATAATATCAGTTCCTTTCCTCCTATTGCATGGTCTCCTATTGCAATCTCCACGTAACTCGGTGGACCCACGTTGATACCAATTTCGAGGAATTTGAATTCCGTAGCTGTCAATGCGTATCGTCTACCTAGTATACGAGTCGCACGACGCTCCAACGAAATGCTATAGAAAAATTAAAATTAAATAATAGTAATAATAATAAAATTATAAAAATAGAAAAAAGTTAAATGAAACTTACTCATCACATTTGTTCTCAAATGATGAAGTTTTATTACGACTCGGCACGTAATTATTATTCACGCGTCTTCCGACGTCGCTGCCGCTACTGCTTCTTTCGACGTAGTACATTTCTTTGAAGGTTATGAAAAGTGAACCACGAGCGGTTAACGCGAGACTGATCGTACAGGAATTAACCGGGTATACGTGACGCTCATCTTCCAAAAGTATAATGTGGTGGGGGGATCAATGCTTCTAACGCTTTGAATTTTAGGAGAAGGGTGAAATAACGTTCAGATAAAATATTTTTAGAAACGCAAGGAAAGGTCTAGGGAGGAGGATAATAAGGGGGAGGAAATAAGAGATAAAACACATATTAATGTTTACATATTTGTTTTATTTTCTTGCAATTCTTTCTGGCGTTGCGACCACCAGTTAAATATTTCGATACCTTTTAAATACATTTTGTAATGCGCAATTCTTAATATGTTTTCCACATCGCTTTTCCACATACTATTGATAATATCTAATTTATTTAAAGCATCAATATCTTCGTAATCTGCATCCAAGGTTTCAATAATATAGCCATTCCCCGCATCGTC